GGCTGTTTCATGCCTTGGTTACACTGCAGTATCATTATGTGAAATACTCATTTGTTACGTTTTTCTTTACGATAGATATTAACATCCTTTTCATTCTTTGCTTTTAAGGAAGTTCTTTTCTTCCCCGCCATGAAACCAGAAGATGGTTCTCAAAAACAAAATGAAGATGAAAATCCCAAGTGACAAATTTATGTCAAAAATTTGATAGGAAAATCAAATTGATGTATTAAAGTGATGACAAGTCTTTGATCTGCGAAGATAAAGTCTGTTGCTTTTGTGTTTTGGTCACAGGCCAATCAAATTACACAGGAAATCCAAAATCCAGTAGTGTATTTATATTGATATTTGCAAATCAATTTACAGGTGTTCCTATGTGTACTGGAATCTATTGTTGTTTTATGTATTGCAGGGTGTCGCCTCAGTACAAAATAATCCTTCATTCTTCTTCCAGTACTCATAGAATGAACCCAATTTACATTGTAAAATACATCAACTCTACATTAAACAATGTCCTAAKTATTACACTTTTATTTTCATTAATAATTATTCTACATAATTATCTTCGACTTCTATACTTGTGATAGGTATAAGTGAATTGTAGTGTTCACCAAGACCATACGCATGATGGTGGTACCTGAAAACAAAATAAAATACAGCTTTTCTTATCTTGATAGTCAGCAACTTGAACAAGTTAACCAGTAGGGGCCTTGTAGACTTGTAGCAGTTAAGAATAATGTTGTCTTTGATGAAAAGGAATTATGTATGATAAAAGAAAATGTACTATGATATGATGTTTTTCACAGGAGGTAGAAAATCTCTCTAGTATGGTTGAAAACCAAGCTATTTTTAATTCCAAAGGAAGCAATTTGTATTTGTTAGTGTATGTACACCAAAATATTAACTTACGATAACAATAATGGACTTGATGAATGATTGAACTCTTCCCCTATTTTAATGGCTGCCGAATTTGCTTGAATAACTTCAATGGGCATTTGAAGGACATGTGACAATGCTTGCAGCTGATTTAAAATGAAACTTGTATAAATTAATACAATTAATTCTCAACTGGCATTTTCCAGTAAATTAGCACACAGTCCAATAGTCAAACAAATACAGAATCAAATAAGAAATAGGACATACAGGTCAACAAACAATGTATTGTTACCTCTAACTGYCCACCCCACACTGACGTTGTTGCTACATCTTTACAATACTTCATAAACTCATCTGAAATAAGTAATCATAATTGCAAAAAATAATGTCATCTTAGCAATAAAAATATAAAAAAAAAGAAACAGAAAAACTATTTTTATAAAATTTGTCTCTTTAAAAATGCACAATAAACAGAGAACCGAAGTGATGACKTCACAAAACAAAATTTTCTGATTCTTCAAACTTGGCCACCATATTCTGAAAGTGCATCATTTTCAATGCATTCTTGCCAAATTGGTCACCCGACAATAAGATCGCTCGTATCTCTGCTATTAATGGCACTTGGACACTCAAATTTGGCAGAAAGCTACTTTTTATCATGCCCTATAAGATATTTCAACACTTCRGTACTCTAGTGTAGTTTGTTTATTTTGTTTTGACTATAAATGCTGGTTTTCCAGCTTAAGATTTAGCCATAATTGTTACCTTTCCAGAAGACAGTCTATTTATTGCYAAATCAAAGCACATGACCAAAAAAACAGAAGCAGGTTTATATATTCCTTATTGCTATACCTTGTGTATAWAGCTCTCCTGTCTCTGAGTGAATGAGAAATGGTATAAAATCTTCACTGTGTGATAACATATAATTTCCTGCTTGTTGTCGAAGCTGTTCATATTCAAACTACAAGGAAAAAGAGTTGATAAACACTGACAAATTTTTGCGTAGAATAACCTATAAATAAATTCTTACTTGTAATTTTTTTCTTCTAAGTTGGTGCGCCAAAGCATTATATAAACTGAAATATTGAAAACAATAAAACAACCAAATTTGTTGTATATAATATAATAATTTGTTGTATATAATACCGCTACTTAATATAAGTCCTTAGAAATAAACTCATCAACACTCACCAGTGACCATCTGGAGTAATCTGCAAAATAACGTTTAAAGAATTACTTATTAATTCTAAAACTRTCAATAATGATATTGAATATTAATRGAGGGAAAGATAATTACTGTCTGTAATGGGACAGTACAATGCAAGCTATGAAATTCACATATTAAACTCACCTCATGTATTTCTAAATTTCTTTCCTTTAAAATTTGTTTCATCTGTTCTATTTCAACATTGCGAGCACAATTGACATTTTCTATTTCTGCTTCTGCTATTCTTCTTTCTCTTTCYTGTTCTTGTGCTGTTTTTTTAGCTCTCCTTTTTGCAGCTCGAGATGWCTTTGTTCCAGTTTCTTCAGAGGTATTTGATACTTGAACATTCTCTAGTTTGTTGGTAACATCATTTAAATTTTCTGTCTGATAAAGAAAAAAATTGATGGTCATTAAGCTTGCAATGTTTCTGGCAACAATACTGCTGTTGTAATAATGCTGGTCCATGGTCCATGTGTATTGATTGATTATCAAACTGATGTTTTTTTTTGTTTTTTTTTTATTTATTTATTTATTTAACATTTTTTATTAAATACAATAACAACACATACAATAATCTAAATACAACGTTTACAAAACTTACACTTAACTAACAATTAACACTAAGTCACTAAGGAGTTTGTCTTAATTTGGGGAAAGAGAAAATAAAACAATTTAACTTTTGCTAAAAAGTAAAGAGTAGTCACTGAAAAAATCCGCGGATTATCTGTGAAGCAGAACACAGATTTTCTCATATTTTTTAAAATGAGAGGTTAATTTGGACCTTTTTTCAGCTATAACATATTCTATATTTTCATAATGTTTAAGAAGAGCTTGATAATCAAATTGATGGTATGTAAATGAGATAAAGATATGTTGTTGCATAGTCATACTCATGCATTAGTAYCCAATATGCACATACAATACCTTCTTTTCACTGGAGTATTCATTAATTTCTTTCTTGTGTCTGTCTTCTAGTTCTGCTTCCAGTTTAGCTATTTCAAGGGTTATTTCTTTTTTCTTTTTCTTGTCACCTTTGGGTACAGAATGCTTAAGAGACTGGATCTTTCCTGGATCAGAGAAAATTGTAAAAAAAAAACAACAATTATACAGCTTTCCATATTTCCAAAAATACAATCTGGGTCATCAGATCTGCAGTTGCAAACCATTTGTTCCTCATGTATGTCCAATTTCAGGATACTGAGGTTCGAGGTAGTGATACAAYAAAAGTACATACCAAGGAGATCTTTCTTTTCTTTCTTGTGACGCTGCAACAGGCTTTCATAACTTAAATCTTTTTCTTCACAATCATCCGCCATTTTGACTAAAACACCGTCARCTGTTTAACAGCAACGCGGGCTCATACTAACCGCGAGAGACTAAGCATTAATATCGTCATTTCCATATAAGGTAGTGATGTAACCAGTGACGTAATGAGTAAAAATTAACCCAGTCCACCACGCCGTCACGTGATCAAACATTAAGAACARCATTACATTGCGCAGAGCGAAAGTAACATAATCAGCAGAAAGGGCTCGAAAAAACTTTATTGCTTTGTTTCTCCTTTGCAAAGATGAAGTGGGCATTCAAAGAAGAGCACTCTATAGGTAAATCTTCAAAGTTAACCTCTGCGATTTTGTTGCGAGTGCTAGTTGCGTAATTTATCCTCATAATTTCTATCCCTTTTCAGAGTCGCGATGTCAAGAATCGGCCAAAATTCGCTCCAAATATCCAGACCGTATTCCAGTAAGTTACCAGAAATATCATTCAAGGGAAAAGCTATACTCTGGCTTGTTTTTTTTAATGTATTTATGGTGTTTTTGRTAGGTTGTAGTCGAGAAAGCACCCAAATCATCCATTCAAGACATCGACAAAAGAAAGTTTCTTGTTCCATCAGATCTCACAGGTAAGAAGACCAAGCGGAAACAAAACTACGTCTGTCTGTTTACGATTCCTTTTCATTTTATTTTGTAAAAGCATAAAAACATCTTTCTGTTTCCCTTGCAGTTGCCCAGTTTATGTATATTATTCGCAAAAGGATTCAGCTTCCYCCCGAGAARGCCATGTTCTTGTTCGTCAACAAAGTCCTTCCAACAACAAGGTGAGATCTTCATTTGTCTCAATATTCTGATCTCAGAGTTTATCTTACAAAGGTTCTCCTACAGCTGTCTGATTTTATGTTATTGATTCTTAGTCCCCATTCGCTTTGATGGTGGATCAATGCGATTGCAAAAATAAACGCCCTTGAAGAAAAATATCTCTCGATGTACAATTCACAATAACAACAACCGAAAACATCACTTATTACTCTACGAAAGTTATACTAAATCTAGTTGGAATTTCGATAGGGAAACTATATCATGTTATATGTTGATTTCATTGTTTTGGTGCAAGCTTTGTGCTAATGCTAGAAACAAAAACAATTTTCTAATTTCACGATTTTCCACCTTCAATACGTATGTTTTGCCAAGCTTACACGTTTTATCRACCTATGTTTAACAGTAAAATTATAATATTTTGGTTTAGTTCATTTTTTATTATAATTCTTATATTTTTGTTTTGTTGAGACTGAATGTGATTAGAATAATCCAACAACAGTGGTTGAGTTATACCTGCTAACCATCTTAAACACTAACCCCTATAATATCCCACCATCCTTTATGCTATACAGATGTTCTTTTCAATTGGAATATCCATAAGTGCTACTTCCTTCAAAATCTTTTTTTCTTTGTTTACAATATTATGCTAAAACAATGCATTTGCATACATTTGCATACTCCTCCATGACAATATATAATTCATATGATTTTTTCAAAACATGATAATTGCTTCTAAAAAGAATATCCAAGTAACTAACAAAAATCATATGAAATGTGATCATGTTGAGGGCAGTTTGTATTGTCTATATATAGATATTGAGTGCTTGCATGTTTGTTGTGAGTTAGTGTAGGGGACTCTTCCTGATAACATGCAAAATGCAACATTAACGTACTGACAAAGATTTCTTATTTGATGTGCCTATACTTCTTGCTTTCCATTGTCCATTTTAGATAGCTTGTCATCTTTTCTGAATTTCTCTATTMACTTAAGAAACAAAATAATATTTTTCTTTAGCTATTTAAGTCTAATCAACATTATTGTTTTTGTRACATTCAGCTCAACAATGGGGGCAATCTATGAAGAACACAAGGATGAGGATGGTTTTCTATATATTGCCTACAGTGGAGAAAACACATTTGGAAACTAAAAAGCAATATTGGATGAAATTGGATTAGTAAAGCTGTATCTTTCTGTTGTCTGTTTGTGTGAAATCAGTTGCTTTCAGTAACTTTATAATGTTAAATTTATCATAATCATTCTAGCACTATTTTGAACTCACTAACTAGTAAACACTAAATTATCACATCTTTCTGCCTCAATTTGATGCATTATAATTACAAAAACAAAACAAAAATACAAATGTGCGTGCATTCTGCTACAAGGATACATTAACCAAAAACCAATAAATTTAAGACTACTAAGATGTCTTTTACAACAAACATAGTTTGTAAATATTGTCTAGGAAGAGAGAGAAACTAAAGCAGAATAGCATAGCACTCAAAAACAATTATTACTTTAACTTTGTTTTCAAAATCAATCAATAATTATTAGAAAGAAGTTCAATGGGAATTGTAAGGAATTTAGATAAGAGCAAGTACAGTAGTCTCTTGATAWGGAATTTTATTGTAAAGCATGATAAAACAACTCTGGTTTGTATGACCATGAAGGAAAAGATTCCATGAAAACCTGTCTTGCATCATGGTACTTTCTTGGTGCTTTCTTGAAGTCAGGATAAGTCCATAGTGAAGTTTCCCTGTATATGAAAGTATATAAAAAAATAAAATTGACTTATATTACAATACCTCTTGTCTTTATCTAATTTATTATGTATTTATTAGAACACTTGAATATAATTTAAAGTACATGCCAAAACATTGGTTTATGAACAAATCCTTATGTGCAAGAACAAAAGAATATATTATCTCTTCATGGGGTAGGTATTAATAACATCAGCCCTTACATGATGGCCAGTTGAAGGTGATGATAACATGCATTGTGTGAATGTCATGTGATAAGGGAAAATGTACCTTCTAAAAATAAAGACTGTTGACATTATCAGAACAATAGGTTGGCAAAGTTACAGTTTTGTCACCTGAGAGTAAGGGGAACTTTAGTCTTATCAAGACTTGCCAGTRTAGATTTGAAGCTGTACAAAAGGCTTGCCTTGCAAATTGTTAATCTAGCCAAAAAAATTATTTATAGGATTTAGATTTTAGAAACAAAGATGGGTTTCCTGTGCCTTTGACAACACAKGTAATCCATGTAAAATGTTATACCTTGATTTTGGTGATCTTAAAGATGCTTTTGTTATCCCTTGCTTTATTCCATTCACTGCCACCTCATAAATAAGTGGTGATTTGATCCAAACTATGGCTGCAAGAAATTTATAAAATCACTCCTCAAATATTGTACTGTCAACTCTTGAGAAAAMTACAGAATTGGGCTTCCCRTCTTATACTTGTAAGAAAACAATTTCAATCCAATAAGGTTGCTCATATAGAGAATCCAGTACACTTACCTGCAGATGATGGAGATATTTTTACATCCATTCCTAATCGTTCTTGTAGACACTGCCTGCTGTCTATAAAATCTACTTTTGTATTTATTATTCTTGGTTYATTAATTCTAAACCCCTCTAATAAYCTAGATTCATCTATTTTTTCCAAAGCTCTTTTGTAAAGACCTCTTTCAAGGGCTTCAGTGTCACTTGGGCACTTYCCTACTACAATAGAGGAAAAGTAGATGGGAGAAAGTAAAAAATGGGACAGCAGAGCTCCTTGACAACCAAGTACATTCCACTTCATTATCTTATCACTGCAAGACATGGATAAGGTTGGATCTCCACGCCCAGGCTTGGTGCGTAGCACACCTACTGTATGGTAACCAGCCCCTGGTTCTAAAGGGTCTTCAGGTTCACCAGTTACACATTTAGCTCCAGTTCTATATATATCATCCAAAATATTACCATTATTGATACTACTACTACAAATCTTGCTGTTTGCATAGTTAGTGGTATCTCTTRCAGCTAAAGGATCTTTAGTGATGTCACTTACATTCTCTTCATTAACAATATTCTCAGTTAAGGCTTGTGGCAACAGCCCATTGTTGTCTTTGCTGTCTTGACAAGAATAATGAGCTTTGTCATTATCTGTCAAGATCTCTGAAGAAATAACTATTTCATCTTGGCATGATTTCTTAGACATGACAGGWAAACTTCTTGAGCTTGAATGTTTTCTTTTCATCTGTCCTGTGCAATTGTTATCTTGTGAYGRAATGCATGTATACATGTTGGTTYCTTTTTGTTGSACAGTTTCTTGACAYTCATCTTTTGATTTGGGAAAGATAGAAGCATCACCACCTAAAAAGACCAAAATCAATAAGTTGATTTCTCATGTACATTCAATGACAATGGCTTCAGTTTTTGACATATTCACTTACATGGTGTATGAGAAGTAAACAGGTGAAATGAAATTCCCTCTTTTAATTGACACAGATTACTATCATGACACAGACTGAAGATAGAACTGCTACCATCATAAGCATGCTTGACTTCCTGGTATAAATACCTGGAATAAACAACCAACATTCTTGTTAATAATTGTACTGATGCAATATTTACCCAAGGCCAAGGGTAGAATGAGTACCTCGAACTTGGGTTCCCCATATCCCCATTCAGTATGGTTACCTTAAAAACCCTCGTCTTGCAATAATCTCGGCATGGCTGTCATTAATGATGTCGCCTGTTCAAGAAAAATAAGAAGCATAACTAATATGATAGATGCATGAACACAGATGCTTAAAAGATATTATATACCTTTAGCACTCATTTTATTTTGACCAATACACTTGGATCCAGTTCCCAAAGCAACAATATCACTCGTATAGTGTTCACCTACATGTATAGGATAAAATATTGAATCTTAACAGTATGAAACAGTGTGGTTAATGTGAGGGATCGGCTATCAAAAATCTATTAACATACCAAACTTTCAAAATTTGGAGGTGTCTGTAACGATTTTATGACCTATGTGAAAGATAGATTTTCTAGCTATATGCTAGTCGTCATATTTGACTATTGGATAGAGAATGCACCATATAAATATTAAATTACTACTATTATGAATTATTATTACAACGCCAGTAATACCTTGTTGATTCACTTGTATAACAGCTGACAATAATGTCCATTCCTTGTTATGTTGAGGTTTCCCTTTCTTGCCAATCTTACTGTATAAACTACAACAAGACTTTGCAATGTTCACACCAAAACTGCTGTCTTCGTGCCACAACACCATAGTTTGAATGGTTCCGTTTGAATAACTAAATATCTAGCTACAGAGAAAGGTATTAAGTAGCTTAATATCTCCCAGATATCAGCTGGTTTTCAAACTTGTCGGCCATTTTGGAAATTTCAGCTGAGGAAGGACTGGGTATAATAAGTCAGATAGGGCCTGATAGGGAGGGAGGGAAGGGGTATTATAAGTATGTCAATGAAATCTGTAGTCTTATATATCTATTTATCATTTTGATTAGCAATAAGGGAAATTATATGAATTTATGTATGCTGAAAAGGTCTAAAATAAATAATGGACTATTTTCGGAGATTATAATTAGGGACTTTAGGGTGCTATCAAAAAAGAAAAATAATAATACCAAGTACCCCTCCCTTGCTATTTTAACCGCTGACTTTATAGCGAAGGCTCAAAGTTTACAATTTTCAGTAGATTTTTTAGCGGGAAAACAATTTGACAGATTCGTGTTTTTATTCCGTAAAGTTAAACAAGTCTCTATTCGAAAAGGTTCAAGATGGTTATGTACGAAGTTCATAGACATCCAGTTTTACAGAAATATCGTACTCATATATGCAGTAAAGCTACTATTTTTCAGTTCTTCGTAATCTGGCTGACCTACTTACCACCCCTTATTATTGCCTTTGTGACATACGGTAAGACGTTATGATGAAACAGATCCTTAAAGCTGCTCAACATTTACGAATTTAGCGACTAAAATCACTGTATACTATGCTTAATAACTTGTGCTTCTGGTGTAGGGTTTTGGATGAAAGAAAGCTCTTTTCGAGAGCAACCTAATGTGCAGTTCAAACATCAACTATTGTTAGTTGCTCAAGGAAATACTCCTGGTTCCTATCTCGCTTACAGTACTTTCCTAAACTTCAACCAACTTCTTCAACAGAATCTGAGAATTCCTCTGGTTAAGGTATCAGATTTGTGTAGCCATGGCAACTGTTACCATGGATTCAGTCACTTTTCATCTATTAACGTTCCCTTAGCAACAAGAGAAAAAGCTAACTTAATAGACCCCTTGCATGTGACGTCAAAGAAGCTTCATCTGGAGGACAAAACAAAAGATTTTTGCCCTCTTGGGAACTAGCATCTATTCATTAGTCCTCCAGTTGGAGTTGCATTCCCACGAACTGCAAGGGGTCTATTGCATTTGTGTAGAAAGAAAATTTAACACCGTATAAAAGTAGGTGAAATAACTTACTGACGTTTCTGACGTTAATCCCTTATCAGAGTAAAGAGAACTTTCTTTGCATTTATCTGTTATTATCAATAAGCTTATGTAACGTGGATTTATATCAAGTTAATTTATTATTGCAGTCTTGGGAAGAGGACACCAATTATGATGGCAAATATGACTCACTCAACTTTGATATCAGGCTACCTTTAAAAGATGCAGAATCAATTTATTCTGTCCAAGTTATAATGCTGTTTGATTACAAGTTACATGTTAGTATCAACTTTGATTCAGTACACAAACAACTATTAGTAGGAAGAGCCAAAATGAAAGGAAGCTATGGAATGTTGGATTCATCTGAATATTATATACTTTCCTTTATTCTTTTTCTGATTTTCATTCAATTTCATTTCATTTTCCTTTTGTCTCTCATCTTTTTTATTCATATCATTCAAGTATGTTACCATTTTCACCATAATGTGCCCCGAAAGAACAAGATAAAGGACACTCTTCACTGTAAGATAACTGTTCCTTGTCAGTGATGGCTAATTTTGTATTTCTTTGATTGTAGAAATATGTATCTCTCCAAATGGAAGGGATGGCGTATATTCATTATGACTCACCAATAGCTGGGGCTGAGTTTAGAACTGTAGGTGAACTAAAGCTGAGGCAGACAAGTCTTTTACCAAACAAAGGAAAACATTCTACTTACAATGTAAATAAACCTATTTGTAATATATTGGACAAACAGTAATCTATTCAGCCTCCTTTCTGTAGCTTCCACTGTATTGCATTGGAACAAAGGGGCGGCTTCAAAAGGAGGCTATGATCCATGCTAAACATCAGATTTGTATCATTTGTATGACATTATATTGTCTTTAATTAATATATTGATACTACACTGTATGGATGTAAATGATGTCCTTATTATCCATTGTGTTAGCATTAGCTGCATTGTATTAATAACATTATATTATCATGATATTTTTTCAGACTTCGATCATTGACAGCTCAAAAACATCAGTAGAGACATATGACCTATTTACAATATTCTCTTCATATATCAAAAGAAATGGTAAGTACACTTTTAGGTAATTTTATCCCTTTCTTTCTAATTGATAATATCCTCACATTTTGTGGTTGATGTGTGCATTTGATATGGAGAAAGTATTGGCATTGAAAACAAACAAACAAAATCTAAGCTACATTGACTCCTTAGGGAAGAAGTTTTTATGTACTTGTGTCAATGTTATGCACTGCTGATGATTTCAGTAAGCACTGAGTATGTGTCCAAGTACCCAGTATGGACAGGTGGGCGTGCATCTGGACAGCCATTTGTAATTAAAGGGACCATTCATTACCCAGAAGAAATGATATTGTATCCTTTGTGTCTTGAATATTGAATTGCAGAAACAAGCTCTGGTTTTGTTTTGTGTGAAACCATGTTTCCTAGCTCCTTCATATTGTTTGTTGAATGATAGTTGATGTGTGTACTATTGTATTGTATAGCGATACTCAATGTGACGTAAGTCTTTGTTATTCATGTTTCAACCAGAAGATGATTGGCTGTTAGAACAAAGCGACTTGTGAAAAGCCATTYTGATCATGGTTGGCACATYAACATAAGAATCAGTTTGTTGATAAACACTGAGTATTGCTATAATAATAACTTGCTTACTACTTTGGGCCAGTTGTTCAAAGGGTAGATATGTAGCACAATCCAACAGATAATATCCATTCATTGAAAAAATCCATAAAAAAGTCCATAGAGTGAATATTTTTCCATCAATTCTACAACCTTTACTATAGACATTTTCGGTTTTGTTTTATTATTTATTTTCTTAGTTGGCTTTTATTATATTCAGAAAAACAGTCATTCTTTAACACATCCAAAGCTATCGTCCTGGGTTCTGGCARATGTTGAAGTGGGCCTGGGTTCAGTATTTATCTGTGCTATTTATATTTCTGTTTGTGTTTGATAGAGTTAAACGGTTTATCTTTGAAGAACAGATTGTTTCTACTGTACCTATGCAGCTAGAAAAAGAACATCAGGACTGAATTGTTCTACTGAAAAAATGGTTTAAAATCACTAAGACCTGTGTATCTTATACACTTTTGTATTGATTACTTAGTCTGTTTAATGAACTTAGGCGTGGTGTATGAACTTCAAATTTTCACAGTAAGATTCCATACATAAACTAAGATGTAAATAGTTCTATCAAGTGCTGTGATGGTGTTTTTAGAGAGAGTACCACGTACATACTTTATATATACCAAAATGCATACTAGACGTTTTTGGCTGCAAAAAAAATATTTATAGAAAGTGCAATCACTTATTTGAAAAATAGGCTTGAACACTTGATGTGTATTAATGTTTATATACAAGTAGAGGTCGTCTGGTTTTTACATTGCAGTTGAATGCAAAAATAGTTTTGAACTTGCCAAAATAGATAAATAAATTCCATTTTAAGTACTTATCGAATAATTTTTATAGCGGACTTTTTCTCGCCGTTTTATTTTAGCAATCCTACTGGTAATGCAACAGGTGGTATTGTCACGCAATGCTTGTCACGGGTAACACCGTACTGTAAAATAGAGGTGTAGTCCTCTTAGAATAATTTTTGATGTTAACAAAACAATAACTGTGAGGTTTTTCTCGGCTTTTTACTTTATTTGACTGATGATCGCCTTTTTCTGTCGCTGAGTTTGCATGTTTCCAATTGTTTGTTTTCTCGTTTCGTTGACATCCAGTAGTTTATCGTGATGTAACTTCATTACATTTTTGCCGAATTTCAATCTCAATTTAAACGCCATAACGCCATAACTTATGTTCCGAATAAATTCAGAAATACTGCAAGTTTACTTGCTATCGCTGGGTGTGGATGTTTGATGACATCACAACACGAGCGAACCGCCCAGAAAGGGCGTAACCCAAGCGCTTCTTCTCTCAACATCAACCTATTTCAATAGCATTGATCATAGCCTAATTAGTAAGTTACAAGAAACTTGGTTTTGAAGACTGTGCACAGAAATTGCAAGAGTGGAATTACTGTCTTTGAACAGTGCGTCGATTGATTACTGTGAAGAAGTATTTTGTTATTCCGGACCTGTGACCGACATTAAGCTCGCTGTCCCTTCAGCGTGATCGGACTGTGCATCACCGTCCTTTGGCTCTTAGCTTTTGCGCTACGATATTAATCAGTCATCAATGCGCTAAAGAAAAGGTCCTACAATACTTGCTTTTCATTGACGCACTCAAAGAGGCTTGTCTGTAATTTCTTGATATATTCTACCAAGAAAGGATAATATATTTTGGACAATTATTAGTAAGTCAGAACAAGAATGCCTGGGTATGAGGCCAAGTTCGTCAATGCTGTTGATAAGTGCTTTGAATGCCCAGTATGTCTGACTGTCTTACGGGATCCTGTTCAAGTAACTCCGTGTGGTCATCGTGTATGCAAGACTTGTATACAGCCCATTCTCAGGTACAGAAATATGAACTTGTTGACCGATGAATTGATTAAACAGTTGAACGAATGAATGATTGCATGCATAATGAAAGAATCATTGTTGATTGGGATTGAATGATTGATTGATTAATATTGGATGAATGGTTGATTTATTCAATTTCAGTGTGCTTGTCTGATTAATCAAGATTCAATTGATTTTCAGGAATAAGAGACCACGATGTCCTTTGGATAACCTTCCAGTGTGTGATGATCAGGTAAGGACATATCGGACATTTATTAACCATACTTTGACAGAATGACTTACTGACGAGATATAGGTACGCATGCATACTAGATAAGACAACAATTTATCAATTATATCTCGTGTATAATGAAATGATGTTAATGATGATGACAATCATGATGATAATGATCAATAATGATTGCGTTGATGCTATTATGATGTCCCACGAGTAGTAAAGTTATTAATGAGTTTCTCTAGGTTTTCTCAGATAATGCTTGTCATCGTCAAATCCTGTCAATGGATATTCTCTGCCGGCATAACGAGAAGGGTTGTACCTGGACAGGACCGCTGAATGACCATAAGGTAAAGTCATCACTGTGTATTGTAAAAAGACTGATGTCATTGGCTCACATATCCACATCGTATATTATTAGTAAATATTTGAAAATTTAATGAACCTGGGTGTAGATTTTACGAAGTGTGGATAAAGTTATCCAGTTCAGATTTTGTATGCATCTTATTTACTACCTAATATACATGCTTTGTGCAACCGACCCTAGTGTCTTACAACGGTCTTTAACTTCTTCCGTCACTTTCTTCCTTCTCGGAACCTCGTCTAATCTGTACATGTTTTAAAACAACTTCAATTCTTTTTAGAAACACCTTGATAATTGTGATTTAAACAATGTAAATTGTCCTAAAAACTGTGGAGCATCTTTGGAAAGACGAAAAGTAGACGAACATTTCACCGAGTGTGACAACCGTCAGACACCATGTCTTCACTGTAAACAGATGATTGTCTTCTCTAGTATGGATGTAAGTCATTCATCATTCATGATTTTTTTAAAACAATTTTTTGTTGTAAGAAAATATCTCTCTTGAGGACGATTTATTAAGTCTCCTTTCCAAGGGGCACAAGAGGTGTATATATTACAAATTCAAAATGGCGGTCAATGGTGTTATATAGGAAGATTCCTGGGAAATTCAGACTAAAATGATCCAATCAAAAATTGGCGAAACAATTTACAAATTTGTACCGTTTTTCAAGTCGAGAATGTCTGGCTCGAAAAACATTGTGGCCGGATATTTCGCTTTTCTCATCCATTGATTGTTTTTATGTAGGTTCATTTACAAAGCTGCGCATCATTTCCGATTTCTTGTCCTTTAAAATGTGGTGTCAACGAACTCAGTAAACAAACGGTGGGTACACGTAGCTAATGGCGGCTGCATTAAGCTAAGTCAACTTGAAACTGCTCCATATTGCATCCTACCATGTTATATGTTGTAATTTATGTCATACTTGCTTCTCGACAATCACCACGCCTATTACAAGTTAAATACTGGTTCAATATCACTCTTCATCTACAGCAATGTACAAAAAAGACGAAACGTTTGATGTTTACATAATCTTTCTTTGTATATTACTCCAGTTAGTACATGCGTTGTCTGTTAATTTTACTGACTTTTATTGGAGTTTGTAGGACAGTGACACGACTAACCGTGTGACTTAACAACCGCTGACTGCCAGTCACGTGACCTGACAACCGACGAGGACCGCTGACCAAACTACCTGCGACTTGTAGCTATACCCCTATATGAAATTTCATCTATCAGTAGATTCTTTAAGGGCAAATAATGAATGTCCAACTTTTTGGAAACATCTTTACACTGTATACATGCATCAGTTCTTTCGGAGAACAATGCGTCCGCCATCTTGAAAAGTGAGACCCGAATCACTATGTTGTGCCTTAGAACACATTTCGTAGTTGCTACGTCAAGTAATCTATCATTATATCGTATTATATTAACTTGACATTAGCTGAGAAGCTTTTAATTACTTTAGGAGTTATAATTTAGTGATTCGAGTCCAACTTTTCAAGATGGCGGATGCATCGTTCTCCGAAGGTAGCTGCATTAATAGTAATATAATCCCCAACTATGAAGTACATTAATATAACGGTACTTCATATGACGAAATGTAGGTTTTTATAAATGAGAATCAGATTTTTGCGTAACATCAATGCTTAAGACGTAACTTATGATATGCTACGTCAAAATGACATCAGTTGACCTATTTGTTTTAATCAGGAATATAATAATGGCGTCGCGGCATGTGGCAAACTAATGATGCAGCTTTTCATAATTGAGAATTCTACGTCAGATTTTAACGTTACGTTAATACTAAAGACGTTACTTATGATATCCTACGTCATAATGACATCAGTTGACCTATCTGTTTTATATAATATCAAAAGGCAAAAACGGAAGAACGGAGTTTAGAAAAATATATTTTCTTTACCATATTAACACCCAATATTATACATAGTAATTTTCCGAGACTGCGGTAACTTATTGTAGTTCTCAAACTGTCAGTTGTTCTATATCCGATGCAGTGTCGGATCCAGGGGGGGTTCCATGGGTTCCTAGGAACCCCCCTCGAGCATAAAAAAATAATAATGAAATAAATGATAAATGAAATAAAATGAAAACGCATCGTACAATGAATTTTTATTCAATACATTCACACTACATTTGCTACAGTTCGAGAGGCACAGTAAAAAAGTTCATTTTAGGAAAATGCGAAAACAAAGAGGAACCCCCCTTTGAAAAATCGTGGATCCGGCACTGCGATATCAGGACACTCTGCCCTCATATCTCTCCCGAGGAATTTGTGTTCTGTCATCATTGGTTTTAAGTATTATCTATAAACTTCAAACTCAATGTCGACTTTTTGTGTTTAGCTTTCTTCACATATGAACCTGGAATGTCCTCTTCTTGTTGTCCCATGCTCCTTTGCGCACGCAGGATGCTCATACAAGGTAAGAATAGTGATGGTTTGTTCAAATTGCCATGGCAACTTCCCTGGCAGCTTTGCTGTGTATGGTGTTTTTACTACAACGTTGCGATTTAGATGTACGTAAAAAAATCGAACTTGTTGGAGTTTGTTGCTACCATACCAAACGAATTATATGGACCGCACATTATATTAGAGGGTTAATGATGGATCTCAATTTTCCCATGATTTCATAACGGCAACAGCCAGTAATTTAACATTAGTATTTTAGCCAATGACGTCAGCACTGTCATCATTTCTCCACATTTTACGAAAGTGAATACCATTTACGGCATTCCTTGTGCTATTTACGTTGCTTTCMCTAGGTAGTGAATTGTGTAAATTCAGCAAAACGGTACTGAATTCCAGTGACCTCCCCGTTTGTTTCATGATAATTCGTACTATCACTGATACACTCACAACCCTGCATTTTACGCAAAACTAGTTTCTTTGACATCTATTTTTCCAATTAAAACGTATTATTAGTAGATAATGAGAACTTTGTGATCTAAAATATCTTTACGAAAAGCCCTGGTCATGGTCCATCCATTTTTGGATTTGAAAAACAAAATTATCAAGCACGTAAATGGTATTGGATGACGTCATGGTAATCCAGGTATCCTATTGGCTAACATAATGGATAAAGAAAAAAATACGTTGGTCTCAGTACTCATTTTTCAGTTGTTGACGAGAATTGCAAAAATGAATTCTGGAGACGAAGAAAGCAAAGTATATCTTATGCCTTCGCCTTTATTTCGAAGAAGGTCGAGCTCGCCGAGCATAATGCCTTTAATAATTGGTGTACAGGATTGTCCTGATGAAGTTAAATCAGTTTCGAACATATCTACTTTACCAATGGAGCAGCTTTCACCCTTCAAGTCACCATCGCTAACGCTCAGTACCAACTTGATATTTGGCTCGTATCGAAATACACCTACCAGCAGTCGGAGCTCGTATGGATGCAGCTCTACCCTTGGATCATCAAACGATAGTCCCGCAAACAATAAATCTCCAACCACCAACCGTTACAGGGCTCATCTACAGAATTCCTCGCTCATACTGTTGGACAGCCTTCCTACCGAGACGCTAGAAGATCGCATAGGTCGTTGGATGCTGTGGGCAAGTGAAGAAGAGAAGAAAAATTGCGAGTTTACCACAAACAGACCAAGGAAACTAAGCCCAAATGACGCGGATGCGCTCGCTCACTCGAAGGACTCCGAGGAAGATAAGATGGAGGAATTACAGGATGAAATGACCTGTCATGGACGTACTGGGCACCGTTTGTCCTCTGGTAGCCGAAATTCACCAAAATTAATCTTTTTTTCTGAAGAAAATATCGAAACAAACTGTAAGTTATCCTTCTGAAAAGAGACACATTTCTCTTAAAAGTTAAATTATTCACATATAACGTTAATTGAAGAACTTTTAACCGCTAACTTTTATAAATATATAAAATTATTATTATTTTTTTGCAAGTGACTGATATATTTTTCGGAGTTTCTAGAAACGTCAGGCATCCTAACGGAGTTATCAAAACAACTAAACGTCAGGCAATCGATTTTTTTAAAAGCATTGCTAGAAATAGAACTACAAGAAATTTGCCAAGAAGTCGGAAATGCAGCTGTTCGACAAGGACACAACCACACCACTCACTCTGAGATTTTTGATTGCCTAACGAAGCGTTACTTTTTTTAGAACAAACATAAGTTCAAGAAATAGAACAAGAGAAACGCAAAGAATTCGGAAATATAACTGTGGATTGGTTGTCATGGTTCACACTTTGATATTTTCGATTGCCTGACGGAGTTCTCCGAAAAACTAAATGTCAGGCACTCGAAAATCTCAGAGTAAGTGCTTGAAATCATTTATTTTTAGTGGTTGTTCTATCAATTTTTCAAAAAAAAAAGAAAGAAAGAAAAATTGCCTGACGTTTAGCTTTTTGATCACTCCGTAAGGCTGCCTGACGTTTAAAGACACTCCGTCTATTTTTTCAAAAAGATTGATGCATAGAAAAGTTGTTCTAAAAGTAAAACGAAACCGTTTATTTGTCGTATCAGTTATAATTATTGCTTTTTATCACGAATAGAATGAACGCTTTTACATATTTTTGTTCGACCGATTATCTATAAGAGATAATAGAGTGTATTTTTTTAATGAAATATTCATTTGCATAAATACTAGAATATTGTATGTAAAGTATATGGTACTATTGATGTTTATCACAACATATCGATAGGTAATTTCAATCAAACCCCAGGGTTTTATAATAAACTGAAAAAATACTCTTTCTTCACTAGTTGCTCAGTTTTGTTAAGTGTAACGGTTTTTCTGTCAAACTTTAATGTTTATAATTTATCTATAAATCAGGTGACATATAACGTAATTTATATAGTATAAAGGAAACTAATTGTATTGAATTTAGATTACATGGACATCGCCCATTAAACAGATCTTGTASCATTCAAACTCAATTTTGTAACTTCGCTGATTGTGTGGTGTATGAATTGTGATTAGGCCGAGTGATAACTCTTCGAATTCTTTTTGGAAAGCATGTTGGCTACTTGATTTGTTCCGTGGGCTAAGTAATTTTATGTAAATTCTCCCTATAACTTTATAAGAAAAACCTTGGTATGTTTTCTTTCAATATTGTATTTGTAAATGCCGTTTCAAGATAATAAAATGTTACGAATACATATGGCTTTTTCTTTGTTAAAAACAAAAAAACAAAGATCTCTCGAGCAAGAGCCATTTTTTGTCTCTCTTTTTTCCTTTCTAAGCAACTTCTATCCCTTAATTGGTACCAATCCCTTTCCAAGTGATGTCAGACCATCTTAATGTGAGAGGGGGATGGATGGGAATTTTAGGGGAAGGGGTACAACGACTATTTTAAATCAAGTTCTTTGTCTAGATTGTATTCACATGCATGAGACAAAGATATCTGTTTAGGTCTCATAAGTGTGTGTTTATTTGTGAAATAAATCGTGGTCTTTACCCAATCAGAAGGTGCATAAGCATGAATCAATAAACAAATCAGTAAACAACTTTTAAAATCCCGTTTTAGGCTGAGCGACAAAAGATGCCATCGCACATGGAAGAAAACGTCACATCTCATCTTATGCTTATCTGCAATATAGTCAAAGACCAAAAACAGCAGCTCTCTTTACAAAGAGAGAGAATTCAACTTCAAAAAGAACATCTACAACTGCAGAAAGAAATGCTTATGGCTCAAAAAGACGAACTTATCGAAACACGCAGTAAAACAGCTAGTGGGGAGTTTGTGTGGAGAATAGACAACTTCACAAGAAAATTGATGGACGCCAAATCAGGACGAGCCTCAGAGCCTCTGATCAGTGAGCCTTTTTACACCCACCCCCACGGGTATAAAATGTGCGCAGGAATTTGGTTGAATGGTATAGGAACAGGGAGGGGAAGGTACATTTCTGTTGGGTTACAGGTTAGTCATCGCTGTGTATGAATATTAGCCAATCAGAATGTTTCTTATATTTCTTGTACTCTATTCATCCAATCAGCATGTCCGTAGCATTTTCTATTGTTATTTGTAGGTTCAAGTTGGTGAGTTCGATGGTGTACTTGACTGGTCGTTTTATCCCCGTTATACCTTCACTCTCCTCGACCAACACGAATCAAAGAAAGACAAAAAAGACATTGTTGCGACATTTGAACCCCAAGGAATCGTCCGACCCTCGATAAACCGACAGCTCGGCAAAGGAGCGAGACGATTCGTGCTACAAGACGATGTGATTGGCTCGACGTACTGTAAAGATGACGTAATATACATCAAGTTTAATGTTGCAGTTAAGCAGCCTCCTTCGGGTTTTTTCGCCAAAGTATAATGTCTATAACAGTGGATTGGTAACATTAAACTTGTATTCCTACTGATTTGCGCAAAGCTACAAAAAATACCTCCAGAACATTAAATCTTTAAACATAATTAATTAATTTTTAGTTGTGTAAAAACATATAAATGGTTTTAAAGATATTAAAAGAATTTTGATGACAAATGGCGCCGTTACAATGATGTGCTCGATATATAATGACCGTTTTCATTTGTCAGCAATAACAGCTTAGCAAATAAATAGCATAATAAGGTCAATACTGTTATTTATCTACGTTGAGCTGAGTAAATATGAATTCTTATCAACCTGAGCAAACAGATGTGAAAACTGCTCATTTACAAGTAGCAATGCAGCATCAAAATGGCATACTTTACCAGGTCTTTAATCCTCATAATTGCACTACTCGTATTATTAGACAAAGTATTATCCACCGACCACACCCATAACGATATCAGTGTTATTGACCCAAATGGGAGTACGTCATGGTATTATAGTAGTAGTTCATACCGTATTGCATGGACGCAGACTAAACATGCTTTTAAGTGGGACATTATGCTGTACAGCGCAAAAACCTCGCAGAAGATTTTAGATATCCGTAAATCTGTGAATGAGTACAAAGACAAAGTGCCCATGACTTTCTATTGGTTGATGAGTCGTGACGTATCTATCGGACGGTACTTCATACGAGTAAAGGAAAGTAACATGGACAACGTTTATGGAGACAGCCAAACCTTTGAAATTACAGAAAATGGTAATATTTAAACATTCATAGTGTTCCTTGATGCTTTACAAAGTACAGAAATAATATCTAAAATACTTAATTAGTTGTCTTGAACTTAGCACACCGCAAGTTTTATGCTATTGTGAATACCAAGCCATAATCTTTTGTTCATTTCCGTTATGGAAACTGATAACGTTCCTGTTATTTTAGACGAGGAGTCCGCTTCGTTCAGCTCTACTGACGACCCATACTCACCAACCACACAAAACTCAAACTACATATTCACATCATTGAACGCAACACATCAACAACGTGACCTACATCCACACGAAATAAAACACAAAATAAAGTTAGAGAACGAGGCCAAGAGATTCAGRGCGAYTAACATGAGTAAACACTGGCCTGAACCGCGGAACCGCTGTACCATAGAACGCAGGCATCGTCCAAGTAGGCAAACATTTTTGACCGAATTTGTTGAGAAACAAAAACCTGTTATAATAACCGGTTTGATGGACGACTGGCCAGCGCTGGAGAGCTGGGATTTTGATAAACTAGGTAAGAATATGAGTTTTCTGTTATAGATGATAGCAATTGCAATAGCGACTACTCCCTGACATCGCTATGGCGAACCGTCCAATCAGGGCGAACTAACCCATTCCTATGCTACATGGCATACAGCAATCCAGTCTAACGGATAGTCTTTACATTCCTATATAACTGTATCTTTCAGCTCCCAGACTTTTCAAAGGAATCAAAGTTGACATTCTCGATGAGCTATCTCCCTATCATCGATGGAATGAGTTCCGTTTAACCATGGCGTCATCATTACGTCACTCACCTAAAGTCTACATGGATAATTTTCACGATATTTATCCAGAACTCATGGAAGATGTTAAGAATCCTGACCTTTTCAGAGACAAAGATGATTTCCTTAAGGTCATGCCTAGTCATTTTTGGATTGTAACGAAAACAGATTAGAAGCCATTATTCTAACTCTCTTTTCGCGACTTGTAGATTGTCGATTCTGATATCAGGCCTCCCCAACTTTCATTTCACATGGAACCTAAGAGGTCTGGGTACCACTGGAAGGTTGAGGTTCTGAATGGTTCGTTATGGAACGCATTGGTACAAGGACATAAACGATGGGGGCTATATCATCCTAGCGTATTCTTTCCCCCAGGTAACTGAAGCTAACTGACAGACATCAAACATCGGCGATATTGATCATATGAGGCATATGGGTTCCCACAAATCATACCCTATTTTACAAGAGACGGTAGTTGAGTAAATCACCCCTGCCTACGAAATAGTCATCTCTCTTTGAAGGCTCGGTTACTTTTCAAAATGGCGTATCATGTAGTAAACTTGAGTATCATTTCTACATGTAATAACATTTCTATTTATAATAAAAACCTCACAGGGGTTGTGCACAACAAGTACCGAGTTCAAGATGGTCAGTCATCTGATCCTTTCACATGGTGGACCTACACACAGCCTCACTTGGATGCTGAACGTCAACCCATGGAATGCGTCCAGGGGCCTGGGGAGATTATCTATATCCCGTCAGGGTGGTGGTGGAGTTCTGTTAACCTGGAGGATTCTATTAGTTTACAGGTGAGTGATTGGGAGCCGTAAAATTTTGAACGCATATATGTCTTAACTATTCCAAGACTGCGACATGCGATCGAGGATGCACAACAAAAATAATGTTTTCMTTTAACCTTCTTTTATTGTTTCAATACAAATTATTCAATGATCAATAACGTCGTTATATTTACAAATCATATTTACAATATTGCACTCCGTCATGAACGGATTTAGACTAGTGTGTACGGTACGTATAAGCGTAAGGTACAGTGATGACACTTTTGTCGTCTGCTTTGTCATCAAGAATCATCTTGAACGCTGCAAGAAGAAGGTCGCGATCATGTGTCTTTGGCATATTGATTGTGACTTGTGTGTTGCTGCCATCCTTGTGAATTTTTTTGTACTCCAAGCTTGCGGGTGATTCTTCGATCTAAAACGCAACCACATGACCCTTGTTATACGTGCCGCAACCTCGTTCCCAGGCCCTTATCCCTTCGCTTGGGGGCCTGGGAACGAGATTGTACGTGCCGATAATACAGTTTCCTCCTAACATATTAACTATGCTTCTAAAATTAAAAAGCTATTGTTCTACTCTTTTTACCTGAGAGCTTTGAACAASTGATTTCTCTTGCTTTTTAGAGTTCTTATCTCCTTTCTTTTTCTGGGTGGAAAAGAAAGATAAAGTGTAAGATTTAAAATCATCACATCATTATTTAATGCTGGCTCAAACTTATTTTTTACCTTCTTGTCTTTGCGACTCGTTTTCTCGTTGTGTTTCTCGTCGCATTCSTCRTCACTGGARACGTATCGTTTGACRCGAGTCTTYTTGYTTGAAAGCTTGTTCTTCAGTTGCTGCATAAAGGGTTTCTTGTCTTTCACCTTAAAAGATAAATGTCATTCGAGAGTCAGTTATTGGATGCCTGACTATAAGGACATTGTTCCATGATTTATGGATTTTATGGGAGTGACTTTGTGTGATATAATTTTTTATCATAAGTCAATCGTACCTCTTTCATATCTTTGACATCAACAGATGTACTTCTGACATCAACAAATGCATTTTTACTTGATTTCTTTTTCTTTTGTTTGAAGGCCTTTATAGGATTCTGAAATTTGATGTCAACTTTCCCTTTTCCAAGTGCTTTCATCCAGTCAGCCAACACCAAGCCTTTCCCCGCTAGGTTTGTCTTCGTCTTTTTACTTTTCTTTTTCTGCTTTTTGGACTGTTTCAATGACTTTAAATAAAGAATACAAATCGGTTAAGCAATCAGCAAACGAACAAAACTGATTAGTGTTATTAACCAACCGACGCATCCATCAACCAAACTACCTCCACATCCATGCAACTCACCAACTCACTGATCACTTTACCAACCAACAAACTCGCCTACCAAACAATCATCAGCTACAAGCAACCAAAACCAAAAAAACAACTCACTCAAACAAATATGGACATGATCAAACTAGCTAACCGACCAACTAATAATACATCTCAATACACAAACAATAGCTCTGCATAAACTTACTTTCTTTTCATTGCATTCAACAACAGGATCAAGTTTCACTTTTTCTTCCTGATGTTTYTTTCCGTCACTTTCATTTTCCATCCAAGCATCGTTCTTGGGCACGTCTTCAGGCGTGTTGTATGTCTCCAAGGTTGGAAGGGGACGTGCAGGGAGCTTCCTCGTTAACCCACACCAGTTAGTTGCATCAATAATGTCCTTTKGAGGTAGTTCCTCACCCTTTGACAAGACAAACCCTTTTGACAAAACAAAGCACGGCTCGAGTACGTCATCATCACTGGGACTGTAGATTGGTAGTGGACGTTGACCTTTGATGGCTACAGACTTGAAGGCAATATGCTTTTGTGGAACTTCATCTTTGGGTACATAAGGCTTTGGAGGAACGATAGGAGGACTTGGGGTGTAGTCAACGCTGTCTTCCTCTGTCCAGTGGTGCTCGGAAACTGGTTTCAATATTTCTTCTCCATTGRGATCCTCTTCTTCAGCTTCGTTTTGTTTTTCTCTCTGTTTCTGGGTCACGCTAGCCCAGTAGCGTCGCTTTTCATTTCGCCTCTGTCTTCTTTTCTCCAAATCTTTTTGTCTGTTTTCTTCCAACTCTTTAGCAAGATCGTAGTCTTCCGGCAGCATGATTTGATTGCCGAAGCGTTTAACCTCTAAGTTCTTAAGAGTTCTTTCAATTGTTCTGATGATTTCGTCTATYTTCGACATTTTAAGTGTGATTCAATCAAATTCTGAGTAATATTTTCTCGAAGGTTGAAGTAACAACATTCACGAACGAAAATGTGTCAAATCTGAGTAGATCTTGTCAATTAGTATTTATGACATCAAAATAACTCATAGCAGCCAATCAGATCTTTCGATTTTGCGCGAGATAAAACGTCACTCGTGCGAAAGCCAAACRTGGTAAAGTGTGCGCGCGCTTTGTTTCTGAGCCTGCGTTTCCAACWTAGCGGCTGCATCTAGGTGCGCGCTYTTCWATTTCAACAATATCACATTTCATAATAATCTCTRCATTTGTAGMGTTGGTTTTGTGATGAATTCAGYCTACGAGCCTGCTTAGATGAAATGAAAGAGCAATCTGACAGTAGTCCTGASAACARATACGCAGACATATTTATWCAKCTACGTCATCATTTGAAGATCAATTACCCAGAAATCCTCACTAAAGATGACCATGACTTTCAATCGCCAATAAATGGACTGGGAAAGAGCTTTGATGAACTTCAGGAAGAACGTAGTGACTACAAATATGAGGTACGGTTCTCTTTCATTAATACTTCAATCGTTTTATAACTTGTAATGAGGATTGTGCAGAAGGAAAATTAGAGAAAAAGACATTCCTTGATATAACTTTACTCATTAAAAGGCATGTCAGAGTTGCTTTTTTCATTGTCATTGAGGCAATGAATTTATAACCGGAGGCAATCTAGTTGATTTCAACGTTTTTTGACTAATGTATCAAGCTGCAACTTTTGGACTTATTAATATTTTGATTCAAAGGAATACTTTGGCAAACATGAGCTGGGARCTACCACAGAAGAATAAGATACATGGACGAAGAAATAATTGACGCAGTAAATATTACGTAGCCTGGTAAACGACAAAAGTAGTGAATAAAAATTGTGGAAAGCGTACAAAAAGTGTGAAAATAGTATGAAAAGAAAAATCTAAAAGACCAAAATATTTTRTGGTGTAAAAAGAGAGAGAAATAAAGAATAATTCGTTATCATTATCGAAAAAAAGATTTAAGAAGTATACAGAAACTATAGTGTTAGATATAGTATCAAAGAGTTTGTTTAAAAAGTTATGTCAGAAGTGGGATTCGAACCCACGCCCACTAGAGTGGACTGCGACCTGAACGCAGCGCCTTAGACCGCTCGGCCATCCTGACATTTTCAACGGTGATAACCTCAGCATACCATCATCAACGACGACCAAGCAACTTTAAAACAAAACTGCGACAAACCAATTAAGTGAGCTAATTGATATAACAGCCTTTGATTTTTGTATGATATTTTTTAGCTTGTTATAAGAATACTCACTTTGGAAGAAGCTTTAGGAAAGGGTTCGAATCCCAATCTATGTGACGTAACAGCACGAGTATGCCGATAAAAGCTAAGACTTTTAATCCATGAAAAATAATGAAGAATGTGTATACTTTGAAGGATGCTTATCTTAATTTTTCGAACCTCATTAAATGTCAGGAAGCTTCCTAATATACATGCAGTTTCGTGCAGTTTACCCAAAATGACAAACTTTCCTATTGTCGTGTTATTCGTTCATGACGCAGGAACGTCTGTTCAAACACTGCAATATTATATCACAAACAGACTTTGTATAGTGACGCGGGGTGATTTTGAATGCAGAGTCCAAGTTATTGAAGTAAATGGTTGGTTATTTTGACCTTAAATGTGGTAATTAAATATGCCGTGCATTCATTACACCGACGAATCAAGACGACGAACCGACGGTCGACTTGCACGCCTTCTGCTGGTCATTTTATTCGTGTTTTGCGTCGTTGGGCTTCTCTTGAGTACTGTTTTCATCTATAATCACATCAATTCACGACTAACACGACTTGAGGAAAGACTGGCGATGGTGACGTCAACTGTTAAACCTACGACTGTTGTTGAGGTGAAAAGATTTGCAAGAAATGTGCCAGAAAGAACTTCATTATCAAATAAAACAACACAAAGAAAACAAACAAAGAAAAGGGCTAAGGGATATTAGCTTTAACTTCAAATGAGGATTTAAGAAAGAAAATTAATGTTCGACGTCTGTAACAATAATGCATTGGCTGTTTTAGATGATTGTCGATCAACGTCTCTTCTGTGCTTAGTCTAGTTAGTCATGCAATGTTGCCAAAGTAAATGGCCTGTGGAATATAACTATAGGGTACTCGTACAATAATTACATATATAAAAAACACATTTACCCAATATCAGCCTTGGTTTCACTACTTATGTACGTATGTACAAGTTTAATGTTTTTTACGCGTTCTCATACAATTAAATCCAATTGAATTTTCAAGGCTTTTGATACACCAAATTCACACTGAMGTACAAACAAAGAGTCTGCGTGTTTGTTCACTAGTCTGTATTGATACAGCGAAGCAGCATAAGATTTCTGATTTGAAAGGGTAATCTTATCAATTCCATGTTGGTTCAAAAAGGCCTTGTCCATATGAAACCGGAAATTTTGTATCGACACTTGTTTCCGCGAATACAATCGTTTTCGCGTCCGTATTCGAGATGTTTTCAAGGAGTCTTGGGTATTTCCGCAGAATAATATTTTTTTTCGATAACGTATGGATGGAAACATTATTCTTAAAAAACTAATTTGAAGATACAAGTCTTTTTTGGTCGAACCTACTTCTTTTTTACTTCATCATTAAAGTTGTTCAACTTCAAGTTATGGGAAAATAGAAAAGTCGATGTCATTAATGTGAACAAAATCATTTTCCATGAATTGCTCATCTGAAAAGTCATAATCTTCGTCCTCTGAGCTCGAGTCCCGGCCAAAAATATCACTAGTTTTGTAACCATCTTCATCCTTCTGGTAATATGAATGTAAAACCTCTTCTGTGCTGACATCTGACTCAACATCTTTATCTTTGGATAAATTTTTGTCCTTGTCAAATTCTAATACACTTTCAGTTTCTTTTTCTTCTTTTTGTAATTCTGATTTTTGTTCAAGTTTGTTGTCATTTGATATTGAATCTTCATCTTTCCTTTCATTATTTCCTGATGTTTCATCATTTTCAGTTAAGTTGGTAGGATTTTCTCTTGTTGAATCAGTTTTTGTTCGCTTCTTTGGAGTTTCTTCATCTTCAGATGAACTTGAGTATGAATCCACAAGAGAGGAGAATATCTTTTCGCTTTTGTCAGAACATTCGGAACCCTGTGTCTTTTTTTCTTGACCAGAATTTACATGATGAACCTGACGGACCCAGCAACCAGATGTGAAATATCCCTATGGAAAATACGAGCAAAAATATGGTGTTACACAACCCTTTGAAATAGAAAATAGTTAGCTGGTTTGTGTATAGCTAATGTTTAGCCAAAACTTTGTCTCCTTCACTGCTGTTTTACTGTGTAATTACTGTTGGAGAAGACTGCATAGAATCCAACTTACCATTTTACACCATTGAAGCATTAATCCAGTTTCATATGGTCCATATACCTTAAAAAACAACAATATTTTAATGTTGGGTATATATCCATAAGAAGGTAAGAAGACTATTTTTATGACTGGCTGCAAATTTTATTGGACTCTACAACTCAAGATTTTCATCTCCAATTAGCCAATGAGAGTGTTAATTCTTAGGATGTTTATGCTAAGACATAAAAGTTTGTTGTACCTCTGATTCAGGGCCCAGTGTCCATTTATATTCCCAGTACAAAGTATGAGTGTCTCTTCTTTCTGAGGGTACTTTAATACCACCGATCAATTCTGAAGGCCTTTTGTCCTATAAAATTGCATGATTTTAAGATTCAATACTAGAACCTGACACTTAAGTTTGTTAATAATATAAACTTACCACTGGACCAAATCTTCTTTCAGCAAATCCAACTCTAATTTCCTTGCCATCAACCCTCTGAAAAGAAGCAAGATTTTTATGTTATTGTCTAGTGAAGAGATAAACTATTACAGAGTATTATCAAAAATAACTTACTGGGTGATTGCCTCTGCACCATCTTACTGCCTTTTCAGCTAGTGAAACAAAGAACAATTTACATTCAMACTGTTATGTTATAACTCAAGATCATTTTGAAATTTGTAATACCATCTTCAACCTCCACGAATGTTATGAAAGCAAAACCTCTTGAAACTTTTGTCTCTTTGTCTTTGATTATCTGTTATAGAAATATCACATAAATTAACAATTTAAAAATAAATAATAAATTATAAACAAGATAAATGTTCAGTACCTTCATGTAAGAAATCTCGCCAAAGAAAGAGAAATATTCTGCTAGTGTGACTAAAAACAATTGTAAAACAAAAATCATTATAGTGTAAAGACAGTTTGATACTTATATGTGATACAAGGCTTGACTTACTGGGCTTTGTATCTTTATTTAGGCTCCCTATAAATATCTTGGCTTTAGGATTATCTGAAATTCACAAACAAAAATTTGATTTTTCATATCAGATAAATGATGATRTAAAAAATGATCATGACTGATGATGCTGATGATTGCCATAGTTATGTTCATAGATAATGATAAAAGCTTTTCATAGTGAATGAATTGAAATCACAGTTTAATTAGAATTAAAAAATGAGTCAGTAAGTTACTATGCTGCAACATCGCTATTGAACAGTTTTCCAACTCTTTTAAGCTTAAGCTTAAGTTATAAGTTCTTAACTTAAGCTTACATCGTCTTCTCTTCATTCCAGCATTGACTGACTCAGATGAGTGCGTTTGTCTATGTAATGGTATCTTGACATCCTCCCTATCTTTCTGCCAATCCTCGATCTTTCTGTGTATTTCCTTGGGTCTTTTTACACCAGAAATATTGCTTTTATAACTCCAACCAAAAGTCGCCATCTTGAAAAACATTATCTGAGCCCGCAGTTTTCAGTTTGGKGATCGTGCGGACGGATCATGCGCAAAGTAATTCATAACAGCCTTTAGCAGCCTAAATGGAATGCTAACGAAGGTGATGATAAAATTAGCGTTCGATACTTATATTAACGGTGTTTTTCTTAACCGTTTTTTCCGCTTGTGGTTCAATGTGAATGTACCATTATTCTTGGGGTTCGCTGAAAATGGCTGGACGATTTGAAGCGTCGTACAAGAAATCTTTCTGCGAGAAGCATTCWACGATTTAAAGAACTTGTACAAATAGTGAGCGTCGGCATAAAATGCACGTCAGTCAAGTGAATCTCTTTCATTTTGATTTATTCATTGCTTAAAAGTATTTTACTAGACATAAAAGTGTCAACAAAATGGGTGTATTTACGAGGGAAATCTTTTACTCTCATTGTTAATTAGCAAACAATCCTTCAAGTGCCGTTTGTAAACAACGGAAAAGATTCAAAAGACAGGAAGTCGAGCTAAGAGACAATCTTAAAATGGAAACAAAAGGCTACCAACACAACAACTTAATGGATTTCGACGACCTAGAAGACAATAAACGAAATTCAACGTCAGACAATTCAATGTCTTGGCTGTCAATTTTAGCAGAGTTAGAAATACAGCCTGATGTTACAGCAGCTTCCTCTGACACCACAACAATAGRAAATCAAAGTAATGCGAACCCTTCATCATATAATCCTTTTAGAGCAACACAGCCACAAGAGTTTGTAAATCMAACGTATGGAAATGCTTACTCTGGAAGCCAGAGACCAGGGGACTTGTTTCTGGATAGTCTTATTCATAACACTTCAAATCAAACATTTCAACCTACAAACACATCAACAGCATTGAACCTTMAAGGTTCTCAWTCAGATGAAGATGTTTCTCCTACTCAMTCTGTGAATACAAGAGTAGGAGCTACTGGTTTTGATTATAACAATATTAGRTCAGCAAGTACTTCAAGTCTAAGATCACTGACACCTCCTCCTTTACCYGTCAAAGTGAACAAGTATGGTCATTTTGATGCTGATTCATTTACTGCTTCTATAGAAAGACTKGATCAGTCTCCTCTTCAAGTGAAATTGGACACAAACAACCAGGAGAGTAAATATGTCAATGATATGTCATGGAAAATGTCTGATGCATATGAAGGAATTGGTTCAAGAACAAACAGCGTCAGTTCCACTGGATCCTTCCATCCTTATGACAGCATTTCTTTAAAGAAGAATTTTTCTATTCGGTCTATGAGAAGTACTGATTCTGACAGCAGTACTGATAGATTCTTACAAGTCAGAAATACAAGAGGAGATGCTACAGTTAATGATACAAGTGATCCCAAAGAGTTTTTGAATGAAACATATTTTAATTTTCCAGAAACTGCAAACTCTGTGGCAARACAAGAAGGTCCTCTTCAAGTTAAACTCCCAGACTTGGAGACTGAGGAAAGAGAGTTTTTTGGTTACAAACATTCTCAATCTTCACCCACTGTTTCACCATCTTCTCTTAAAACTGCTGAAACTTACCGTTACTCAGTTGGTGACAGCAAAAAGCCACAGCATCTCACCAGCACATCTAGCAATACTTCTCAGTCACCTAAAGATTGGATACCAGGAGGAGGGCTTTTTGAGGTTGCTAGGGAGAGGAATGTGGAAGTTATTGCATTTGGAAAGGTACTTTCTGATATTCGCAGCAAATTTCCACATGATGAGCCTTCTAATCGTGGTTATGTATTAAGCCCTGCGTTACCGCCAAGCTTTGGTGAGGAAGCTTATGATCTTGACACTGAAGTTCCTGTTGTGATTTACACAGAGAGTAGAAGAGACACAATACGCTTCATTATTAATGTTCATAAACCTGTACGTGAACTGATTGAACTCAGTATCAGTTGTTTATCTGATACTTATATCTCTGACACCACAGATAGTGGTATCTGCAATGTATTTCTTTTAAAAGTCTGTGGGAAATCAGAATACCTTGAAGCAGAGAGAGAGCTGGTTGACTATGAATATGTCCAACAGTGTTTGAAATTACAGCAAGAAGTGCAGTTTGTGTTGATGGAAAGTGACCGKGTATCCAGAGCTCTAGCACGTAAAGCTGATGATGATGATGTTGATTTGATTCCAAGGAACTACAAAGACTTCTTTGATCTGACTAACAGTACTGCCATTTCTCAGTATGGTCTAACAGTACTAATGGGGGCTTTTAGTGACGAAGTAACAAAAGTTTTACAGGAAACAACCAACCTTGTAGCACCACGCTTTGAACCAAGTAGAATCATTCAGTCTGTGAAAGCGATCTGTGCAATGCTTGCAAATATTGAAACAAGTGAAATACATAGTGCAGTAGATGCCCTTAATGAACTCTATCTACAGAGAGAAACTCCTGATGGTCACCGGAAAGCYCCTGACTCAGATTCAATTGACCGAATCCTRACAAGATTGAATGATTCAGTGTTAATGTTGGTTGAGATGTATTGTGAAGCATTTGATACAGAYTTCACTGCAAGTAAAATCAACAGGCCAGGTTTGTCAGGTACAGTGGATATCTCTTCAATGACAGAGAACCTCAGGATCCGTATTGCATCAGCACATCGCCTGCCTTTTAACTGGAAACAGGAATATGAGTACTTTGAGGTACAAGTAGGGGTCTACTATGGGGGAGCACTTCTTTGTCCAATYGAGGTGACCCCCCTGAGTRTAATCAGCAAGAAGTTTTTAGAACACCTACGTTGGGATGAGTGGCTTGAATTTCAAATCCAAGTTCGACAACTACCTAGAGAATCACGCCTGTGTGTCACCCTCTATGGTTACACAGCCATTACCAAAGGTACCGCACCCCACACCCCACAGGTTCCTTTAGGATGGGTTGCCATGCAACTCTTCAACTTCAACGGTGTCCTGGCATCTGGTACACAACTTCTAGGACTTTGGCCTGATGATAAGTCCAACCCAGTCGGTGCTTGCACATCCAATCTTCTTCATCCTGCWAGTGTGCTAATGCTTGTTGAGTTTGAGCGGTACTTGGCTGAGATTATTTTCCCCGATTGCATTGCCCTCCSCATAGATAACGTAAGGGGGGACATTCCTGAAGMGGATTATGGTGTCTATGAACAGATTCTTGAGAAAGACTTGTTCAACGAGCTGAAACCAGAAGAGAAGAAAGCACTTTGGGACTATCGCTACTACTGTTGTAAAGTTTCCAGGGCACTTCCGCTTATCCTGTCATGCATTGAATCATGGGAATACAAACACTTGCCTGAAATCTATCGGCTGCTGGAGGTCTGGACTCCAATGTTTCCCGTTGACGCTATGGAGTTGCTTAAAGTGAACTTCCCTGACTGCAAAGTACGTGCAATGGCAGTACGTTGGATGGGTAATTTCAGTGATGATGAGCTGTGTGATTATCTACCACAACTTGTCCAAGCACTTAAGTACGAGATTTACCATGACTCTCCACTGGCGCGTTTTCTGATCCGCCGCGCCCTTGGCAACGTAAGGCTTATGCACTCATTGTTTTGGTATCTCAAAGACAAGATTAACGACCCTCAGTTTGGACAGCGTTTTCAGGTAAATATAGACTCTTTGTCAGCGTCTTTTTGTTTATAAGTCTGTATTAACATTTACCATGTATRTATAGCAAGCAATATTTCCACCCATCCATTTTCATTTCTTTTAGGTCATACTCGGTGGTCTTTTAAGTGTTTGTGGCGATGCTCAGAGAGAAGAGTTCACTTTCGAAGACGAACTGGTTGCTGAATTGATCAAAATTGCGCAAAAAGTCAAAGATTCTCCTAACTCTGGTAGGACGAACATGTTGCAGCAGGTGATGATACACTTGAATTTTTGTATTTATTCTTTGCCATTCTGCTGGCTATATTTATATAGCTCTCTCTCTCGAAAAAAAATAAAGTGATTCTACTGACGATAGACGTCATTCTAACCTATTAATCAAGATTTATCTTCATGTAGGAGMTTGCAGCATTATCAGGAAGTTTGCCATGYATGTTTCGTCTACCATTGACWCCTAGTATGGAGGTGATCGGCCTCGATGTCAGGTCGTGTGGATATTTCACCTCAAACTCGGCACCGCTCCGACTCGTCCTCAGCAACTCAGATCCTTTTGGAGAAAATGTCAACGTCATTTTTAAGATGGGAGATGACATGCGCCAAGATACGCTGACCATGCAGCTCGTGGGCATCATGAGTAAGATTTGGTTTCGTGAGGGACTAGATCTGAAGATAATTACATATCAATGTATGGCGTTAGGGCCTGGGATTGGCATGATTGAGATCGTTGGTGATGCACAGGTAATAGTAATTTTACAAATCATAATTAAGTTTATCGTCACGACTTATWTTAAGTCGTTTTTTTCAGACGCTTAGRGAAATCCACACAGAATTTGGTCTGACAGGATCTTTCAAAGATGAACCAATCGCACGATGGCTGCTGAAGCACAACCCTGACGAGAAAGATTATAGGATAGCTGTCGATAACTTTACARCCTCATGTGCAGGCTACTGTGTTGCAACATATGTGTTAGGGATCTGTGACCGGCACAACGATAATATCATGATTAGGAAAAGTGGTCATCTATTCCACATMGATTTTGCCAAGATTCTCGGTCATGCKCAGATGTTTGGTACATTCCGACGTGATCGGGCACCCTTTGTGTTAACTCCTGACATGGCTTTCGTCATCAATGGSGGCTATCAGCCAAGTAGTCGTTTCCAGGACTTTGTCGATCTTTGCTGTAGAGCATTCAACTTGATCCGTCGCCACGATAACTTGTTCTTGAACCTCTTGTCACTAATGTTGAATTCTGGAATATCTTCATTGAGTAGTGTTCAYGATTTGAAGTACATACGGGACTCGTTGCTGCCCAATGTAAGCGAAGCGGAYGCAACGGCGACGTTTACAARGCTCATTCATTCAAGTCTGACGTCGTGGTTCACACAAGTGAACTTCTTCATTCATAACGTYGCGCAGCTTCGTGAAGTGAGCCAACTCAAGCGCTCAAGCTCCAACAATCCCAACTCCGTTCTTACCTTTGCCCCGAAGACTTACACCGTAGATACAGACGGTTATATCGAGTCTGCTAGAGTTGTGGACTTTCAGAAGCGTCATACGCCCGCTGAGAAGTACTATATCTACGTGATTAATGTCTGTCGCGTCACTGATACCAAACCAACGTTTRTCTTTCGTCGTTTCGTCCACTTTCAAGAACTCCATACCAAGCTGCTTGAGTTGTTCCCAGAGGCAAATCTCCCTCGACTTCCTGCAAGGATTTACCTTAGAAGGTCACAGATTCGTACTGTGGCAGAAAAACGCCGARCAGAGCTTGACAGCTACTTACGGCACATTCTGATGATGCCGAGTGAAATAGCCGAGAGTGATGCCATCTACACCTTCCTTCACCCTCTCCTGCTGGACGAAGAAGAAGCATCGAAGTTTTCGATCCAGTTACTTCCTGAGGAGAAATGTGATCGACCAATCACAGGGGAGATAAAGCTATCGTTACGCTTTGAGAGGGAGTCACTTCGAGTTATGGTGATGCATGCTAAGAACCTAGCACCACGTGGCACTAGTGGCCTTGCCGACCCTTACGTCAAGCTGTACTTATTACCAGACCCCGAAAAGGCGACCAAGATTAAAACTAAGGTTGCTAAAAGGTATGATTAAACAAATACTTTTTATGCATATATCTCAAGCATATCATGGAATGAAAGTGTGTCCTGAAATACATTTTCATAAGCGTTACTTTTCTAAACAGGACACTGAACCCAACATACAACGAAACTCTTGTGTACAACAACCGCCCTCGAGGAGAACTCGATCGTCGACAACTTCAGGTCACCGTWTGGGATGACAGAGTTGGAGAAAATGAATTCCTGGGAGGTGTTTTGATTGATTTATCAACGGTTGATCTTACTGTAACCAACACTCGATGGTATGATTTGGTTGATCTCAGAAAGTAGAAGAGGTCGAAGTACTGTAGGTATGGGAACACTGCAAGTGCGTGCGTTTGTAATAATGCATCCAAACTTGCGCGCGTATGACTAGAGTCAATTTCGTATGAGTGGGAAACGGACGGTACTGTACTGCAACACCGTAATCGTACTGTAAACAAATTCTAGTGTCTCATTGCTTCACAAAAATTGTGCAGGCCAGGGTCCGGTAACTGTGCGGTAACCGTGCGGTAATTTCTACCGTACGTTTCCCACTCATACGAAATTGACATACCTGTTACTCCGTCCATACTGCCTAACCCTACCAGGCTTGAGAAAAACTGCAATATACCGCGCACCGTACGCCCGTAACAAAATTTGATAAGAAAAGAGTAACATCATCAATGTTTATTGAATATTCTGCTAAGATACTGATCATTTTTTATGCTCTTTCTTTATACAGACTGACAGTTGGAGTAAAAACACAGCAGTACTACAGATTTCTAATAACGCTTTCTGATATCGATATATGCGACAGTAAACTGTATCTTGTCATTGGCATTGATACACACCAAATAATATTGTTGTCATACTATTGGCATTGTATTTGTCCTGCATAATTTAMAGGACGCTTTTTGAATCCTACCTAAGAAATGCTCTCGGCTTTCGGAGGATCTTTGAAGGCTCAAGTCATACTGATACACAGTCTTTTGATGACTGATTATTTTATATGTGTATATTATTTTGATAAATTTTAAAATCCCATCGAAAASATTTCCTTAGATATTAATCTTTATAAAATTCTAGCTGATAAAAATGAATGTTGTAAATATATTAATTGACTAACAAATAAACTGAATTAATATGGTGATCCTTTGCAATGGTGTTCATATTATCAGCGCGTATTAAGTTTGATAAAAGGCACAGTGCATATTGATGGTGATTGCGCTGATGAAAGCAGGTGAGCACGGCTCGATTCTCCGCCGCGCAGTTTGGAGAAAACTGCGTCACTCCAGAAATGAAACTAGTCTTTGTATTATGGATGGCATTAC